CCTTGCGCCAGTTTTGGAAGTCCTATGACATCTACAAGGCCATCAAGAACATTGATGCAGCCTGGTGTGAGGTTACCCTTGCGAACATGAACAGGGTATGGAAACGTCTGTGCCCTCAATTCATTCAAGACTCTTGTGGGCTTGAGGTGGCAGAAAGGGAGTCTCAGGTTGTTATCAGCAACTTGGTTGCCCTCAGCAAGGAACTTCAGCTCGACCTGGAGGAGGGGGACTTTCATGAGCTGCTAGCTGCACAGACAGAGGACTTCTCCAATGAAGACCTCATGGCGTTGGAGGAGCAGTGAAAACAAAAGGAAGAGGAAGAGATCGAACCACCGAAGCAGTTCCAGACCAAGCTGATGGCGGAGGGGTTCAGCTTGACTGAGAAAACGCTATCCCTGTTTGAGGTGCAGGACCCTGATGTGGAGCACTTCACCAAGGCGTCTGCAACTGTCCATGATGCAATCCAGTGCTACAGCGTCATTTATGAGGAGAAGAGGAAGATCACCATCCAAAGTTAACTGGACCACTTCTCCAGGAAGGTGGAAAAAAGTACAGAGGATGAGCCTACACCATCACCACAAGCACCTACATCAATGCTGCTGCTTATGTAAGGTGCGAACTGCGCATGGTTTTTTTGCTTGTTGGACTTAACGAACAAAATAGACTTATAAACAGCCTCTCAGAACGTAACCCGTTTGTAAGTAGGGGACTGTCTGTATATATGTGTGTGCGTGTGTGTGTCTGTGTGTTAGATGTTTTATCCCACCTTTATTATTTTTTTTAAATAACTCAAGACGGCAAATATACCTAATACTCCTTCCTCTTCCTATCTTCCCCACAACAACAGCCCTGTGAGGTAAGTTGGGCTGAAAGAGAGTGACAAAGTTTATAATGGGATTGCAACTGACAGACAGTTTCTGTGAAAGCTGATTTATGAAAGTTATCCTTATTGTTGTCCCCTTCAAATATGTTGGCTCTGCTGGATGAAGAATTGTGAAAAATAAAAGGGCACCATGTTGGAAAAAACTTGTTAGATTATTTCACTGATCTCAGTGACGTATTATTAGATTTACACACAGTTTCAGATATACCATTGTGTACCTGAACACCTAATTAGTAGTAGACAAACTGAGTTCATCTTTAAGTGGAGAAGTGCTTGAAAGTATCAATAACTAATTAAAAAGTCTAATGCAGTTGTGATTTCATAAGTAATGTTCTACTTTTTCTTCTTTTTCCTTTTAGCCATCTCAGTTTGAGCAATGTGTTATGTATTCTATCCAGTCACTTAAAGGAGTTCTGGACTGTAAACCTGGGGAGACTAGTGTAAGTAATGTTTAATACATCTTTTCTGTTTTATTTAATAATATAGTAGACATAGAAATCATTCAAATATCTTGTAAATTAGTTTCCTGCCAATTTTCAAATAAATAGAAGCAGTTATAAATGTTGTACAGCCACTCCTTGTTTAGCTACTACCTCAGTTAGTAACCATTCACAAATACAACGGTAATAAAAAATTCATTTTCTGACCAATGCATACATTTACAATCAAATTTCATGCACCTGACAACAGCGCATGCCACAGAGAGTAACATTGGCATGCCTGTGTGAGAGAACTTTGTCAGAATGAGACAGCAGCAACCACTGATCTTCGCAGTGTCTCTCGTTGTCAGTCACGTGTTCACTTAGTGACCATTTCGCTTAACAACCTAGTCATTGGAACGGACCTTAGTCACTAAGCGAGGAGTGGATGTAATTATTAATGACATGAAAGAGGTAGCTACAATATTAATTGTAATAAAAAAGTTAGGTTTTTATATATACTATATATAAAGAGTCATTCATAAAAATAATTTCTGAATTTTTACTTTAAAAATCTTAATGATAAATTCTTGTTTGCGTTCAGATTCTGAATGACTGATAATAAATAGTTCTTCGACTTAATAATTATTGCAATCTTGAAAAATTATCTTCCTTAACATGCCTGTAGAAAATGTAATGTTTTATAGTAAATAAAGATATGTTATTTCCATAATATATTCAGCATTAATGTCATTTATCATATGATAGAAAAACAATCAACTTTGTTCATTAAAATGTAATGCTAATTAAAGCATGAACATATTCAGAGTTGCAGAAAATTCTCTTAAAAAATTCCAGGGGAAGCCTTTTTTCTATTATATTAACAACCTAAATAGAATTTGCCAGGTAATTCAATGCTGCACTGAAAATTCTAATGGTAGCTCTCCTTTTAAGAGGCCCTATCAAATTCTCAAGGTTACATCATTTCCATTATTTTTATGATTTGCCTGGTCCCCCAACCTGACCTCTGTAGGCTCCAGTGTATTCACAGACATTGCCCTTACTATCCCAGAGACTTCGTGCCCCATCTGATTCGATGATGTAGATTTTTTAGAGTATTTAAAAATATACATATTAAAGATTTATTTTAAAAAATAAAAGTAATCTAGCATTCTTCAAAAATGAGTACCAGACTCAAGCATAATCTTTATTTTCAAGAATACCCCTGACCCCATGTAGAAGAAGAAGTTTCACCTAAGTGCTCTGTTTAGAATTACTCCCTTGCCTACTAAGAAAAAAGACATAAAGTAGGCTAGAGGTAGTAGTGTTTAGTGTTTAGCATCATCAGTTTGCCTTCTGATGAATTACTGTTTTGTGTCTAATCATTTGAACTATGGCAGTATTTTTGTATACAGTTCCATAATATACTCTGAAAATTCCAAATTGAGGATTTTTGCTTTATTGTATGATTTATTCCCATTTAAAAATATAAATATTTATACATTATTTCAAGATCACACTGTTAACCCCTCTGTATATTTAATTTAAAATCTCAGTTGTCATTTGCACAATTATTACAAGTGATAGAAATTCTTCTTTGGTCAGTTATTGTCAGGCCCAGCCCAAGAACAACCATGAAACGGTCCAGTCCAGTCCAGTCCAGTTCCTTTATTTGCCTACACCTTACTGAATGTTTACCAAACTAAATCTGTACTACAGCAACTAGTGGATGTACCCTGGGATATTCTAGGGAGTGGCTATCCTGAATTTCTTTCTGTTCCCACACTCTTCCTGCAGACTATGCTGCCTCTTGTCTCCCTCTTGAAATGCACCCCCTTCTTCCTGATAGCCTTGATCTCCCAGATCACTCTCCTCCTCGTAGATACATTCCATCACAGTTATAGACCTTTGCTTTTAAATCATTAAATTCATTAATAGCTGAATCATGCAAAACATTAGCTATTTGCATAGGAAAATTAATCAAATATTAAGACAGAACTGTATTAGGCAAAACTCAATAGATCACAAAAATATTCAAACTTTCAAATAATCTCAGAAACCCAGTAGTGAACTAAAAGAATGCAGTTTATACAGTTTATGCCATAATACTAATTCTTTTTGTGTGCATAGTATGTATCCATATACAGTGGAATCTTGGGTTACGAACGCTTCTGTTAACGAACGTTTCGGGTTATGACCAGCTCTGGCCGCAAAATTTTGCTTCGCTTTGCGAACTCTGCCTCGGGGTACGAGCAGGATACACGGCCATTTTCCCTCCTGTGACACAGTCTGCAGCCATTTTTCCGCCCCGACACGTGGTCCACGGCCATTTTCCGCCCCTGACACGTCCGCGGCCATTTTTCCGCTCCTGACACGTGGTCCGCGGCCATTTTCCGCCCCTGACACGTGGTCCGTGGCCATTTTTCCGCCCCGACACGTGGTCTGTGGCCATTTTTCTGCCCCCAACACGTGGTCTGCAGCCATTTTTCTGCCCCTGACACGTGGTCTGTGGCCATTTTTCCATCCCTGACACATGGTCCGTGGCCATTTTCCACCCCTGACACGTGGTCCGTGGCCATTTTTCCGCCCCCAACACGTCCGTGGCCATTTTTCTGCCCCTGACACGTGGTCTGTGGCCATTTTTCCACCCCTGACACGTGGTCTGCGGCCATTTTTCCACCCCTGACACGTGGTCCGCGGCTATTTTCCGCCCCTGACACATGGTCGTAGGGAGGGGGACTCTCCCTCCAAGCAATAGCCGCCTCCCTGTCCTCCACGCCAGAACGGATTAACGGTAATTGCATTGAACCTTATGGGGAAATTTGCTTCGGGTTGCGACCAATCCGGGTTGCGGCCAGAGTCACAGAACAAATTAAGTTCGTAAACCAAGGTTCCACTGTATTTAGAGAGAAAGAGATACCAACACTAAACCATGGAAATTGTCCATGATTGAATGAGAATGTAAAGGATTTCATAAAATCATGGAGTTATGTTGATTGAACTTGGTAGATCAGTATAACATAATCTGTATTGTTAACTGTATCAAATGCAGAAAGCAAAAATTAAAGGTACATTGTTGTAGGTGAAACTTGGTGCAGTCTATTTATATCATGTTAAAGAATTAAACATTCAGTAAACATTTACCCTTTTTACAAATTAGTAGTATTAAACTGATAACCTGTTCTTCAAAAATCAATCTTTGATTCCAAGACTGCTTCAAAATGAGAAATCACTAAAAAATGTTAGGTGACTTTGATGCAGAAAATAGATCAAGCCACAGTAGTAATTACAGTATGCAGTCAAAGCACTCAGATTCCTATATGTTCTCTTTTAGTACAACATGAAGAGAAAACTAGCTTTTAGCATCCTTGGTTGGTTTATTGGGAACAGGATTAACATATATGTATTCATTGACTGTATGCAAATCTGTGCAGCTGGCATCAATACTTTGTAAAGCATTCACAAGATCAGAATCCCTTTGGATCTGTGTAGCAGAATAGTTGAAAGATGTCATGATAAATTAAATCTAGCTCCTGGGAATTGCTTCTTTCAGTCCCCATTTAGAGAGTACACTGGGTGGCTGCAAGTTGTCAGTTAAGAGCAAGACAAATGCATGGAGAACTGCTTAGCTTTTCACTCAGTTCTTGCAATGATTGTTTCTTTAGGTTTTCCAGCAAACAAAAATACAGGAAGATGTGTGCCATCTGAGCATTAATATCATGCAGGTAATACATGACTTAACAGAAGGGTCTAAATTAATAAGGTTTGTTCAATTATGTGCACTTGAGAAATTACTGTTTATAAATGTCATCCATTTTCTTGAACGATTAGTACTGAACTAGGAAGTTAGGTTAGGGTTAGGGTTAGGAAGGAGTTATTTTGGGGTAACTCAGAATACCAACCCTCCCCTTTCCAGTAAAACAGCCCCAAGTCAAGTTTTTCTGAGCTCCTTCTCGACATGCGCTTTGCTACTTCTGTACTTCTGCCATAGACTATGGGACCTGAATAAAAAATTTAGCTGCAGATGAACTGTACAGCTATATAGAACTAACATCTGAAAAAATGGAAAGCTAATTAGGAGCATTGGAGTTTCTTTAAAAAAATGCATGATGGATCTATACAGCTGAGGACAGATCCCAAGGAGCTGCTCTGTTTTTTAGATATACAGCTGATCTAGGCAGACCTAGACAAAAGAAAACAATAGCAAACTGATTTACCAAGCAGAGTACATGGATGAGTCAGCAAAAAATCTGGAGTCTAGTAGCACCTTTTCCAACAAACAAATGTTATTAAAGGGCATAAGCTTTTGTGAGCTACTACTCACTGTTTCAGATGCATAGAGTGGCTAGCCTAATGTAGGATTTAAATTGGAGTAAGTTGGGGGGAGGTGGAAGGGAAAGGGCGGGGAAGATAGTTTGGTTATGCAGATGCAGTTTACATGTAAGACTGATTACAAATACCTTATCAATTAACAGGTGTAGTGTATTAAAAAGCCATTATGTTTGTTGAAACCTCCTGAACATTAGGACTATGCAGTGCTTCAAATCCATAGGCAGAAAATTCCTTTACAGCATGCAGAGACATGAATGTAGCACCTTTCTGCAATTCCAAGAAAAGATGCAGATGCTTTAAGGAGCTGCAGACAGATGCTACATGAAAACCCCTCATACACCAAAGCATCTTTCTGCCTTCAAGTCCAAAGCACTGCTCAGCATTTGTTCATTCTCTAAGGACAGAACCAAAGTGGGGAAAAGAAAATACTGTATTAACAGAAATTGTGAAGGCTAACATTTGTATTTGTGCAAACTGAGAATATAAACGTTAGATTTAGAGACATATAGAAGAAGTACTGGGGGGGGCAGAAACGGAAAATGATACTACATTTCCTGCTAATTATGCATTTAACCATTTTTCCCTTTTCCATGCCTATTTCAGGTTTCAGGGCTGGGTTAGATAAAATCTATTTAAATATAGATGGAGAATTGGTGAATTGAAGAAAAGTTAAATAGCTATTCCCTTAACTTGATTTAGCCCAACAAGCCCCACTGCACACAGTTTACCTTAGAAAGAGAAAATAGATTGGGGAAAGCATGTTTCCATCATATCTTCTCATTTCCTTTGGACCCCCCCTGCATTTGTATAAAAAAGCAATGAATAAATCCTCATGTTGTTTTGAGGTACAGTGAGAATAACATGTTTTTTTGTTATTAAATGTTAATGTTTAAAAAACATTAAAACATGTTTTTTTGTTAATGTAGCTCCAGCTCTCTTACGGATTGGTAAAACCTTTAAAGCCATAACTGTTTATTTTGTTCAGTTTAACATCTTGAGAATAAGAGGTAGAATTAAAAATAATATAGGACACTAAAGGTCAGTTAAAATTAAACTGTCTGAAGGAAGTACAAAATATGCTGTGGAGATGAAAAGATTGGGAAAGAAAATACTACTTAAAATTCCCCATCTTGGATAACACTGCTAGTAATTAATGATGATGTCAGATATATTGATTTTTTTTTCTTTCGCAGGTCTTCATTGATTGCCTGGAACAACTGAGTACAAAGCCTGATAGTGATATAGATACTAACCAGTAAGTGCAATAATTTGGTGATAATCTTTTTGACAGTAAAATTCTAGGATTCTGCAGACATCCAGCTTCCAGTCACATTATTGGTTGGGTCCTTCAACCAATTCACCTTGAAATGATTATTTAGGAGTACTTTGTTCATAGACCTCTAATTTTAGAGATCCTACAGGCAATTTGTGGCATTTATTTGACACAGCTAAGCAATTTAACTGTGCTATACTGAATCACAAACTGTCCAAACCACATTTAGTATAGTCTGTCGTGAACTTAGTCTGTGTTGTTAGTTTGTAGTTCATTGTTTCACGCAAACACAGGCAATTTGGTTTAAACCATGGTTAAATTAATCACAGGTAAATATATCATGTGAACATATTTCAGTATTTAGTTTCCCTGTACTTGAAATTAGTTCTTTAAATAAGGCTAGGGATCTTGACAAACCATAAACTGTAGTTTCCATGTTTTTTATTTATTTATTTATCTATTTATTTATTTAAATTTATTGGCCTCCCAACTCCAATGAATCATGTTTCATCAGGGGGTTTGTACAGAGGAAAAATAGGCCTAAATTAAATGCAGAAATCTTTTTTAAAAAATTAAAAAACATTAGCAAGGAAGACAAGAGGTATTCCCATTTGAGTGGTGACTAGAACCTAGAGTTTGTTTGATTCTATGTATTTAACTGTTTTTTTTTAAAGAATCCATGTCAGTTAAACTCATTAGGATCATTAGGAAACAAACATAAGTTTATAAGGCAGATTTACCCTATTTGTTTAGAATAAGACCATCATGGCTTAATCATTAACTGCTTGCAAAATCCCTTAGTCTTCCAGGTGACATCTCATCTTCAGATTTATTTGGAAGCATCTATGAAGATTCCAGTTTATCTGTAGTAAGTACAATTGCTGTTTATTAACCAACAATTAAGAGAGTCCCCTGGACTGCTAGGAGGTCAAACCAGTCAATCTTAAAGGAAATCAACCCTGA